TTATGAAATGAAGATTTTAACGCCTATGATATCTACCTCAAAGGATTCTTGTGACCCCATGATAATGCATCTAAAACGCCATGTAAATTGTAAGCTTTGATTATTCTGTGCTCAAGGAACTACCACTGGTTGTCTTGGTCTGGCAAATAATTCATGTGTGTCCTTAGCTTATTTCCATGAATCACTAGGAGTACATAGGCTAATTACCTGAGACTATAATAATCCTTCATATTTACATAATGCTTTTATGGATTAGATTCATAGACCAGTAGGGCAGAGGATTTTTTCCATGTACTTACTCCTGGTGTGACTTTGAGAAAGTCACTTCACAACAGTATATTGGAGTTGGCAATGCACAAATTGTTGTCTCCATTTTAAAGATGAGGCTTTCGAGGCCCAGAAAAGTTTAGTGATTTGCCTGACATCTCACAGCTAGTCAGTGGTAGAACCAGGACTCAAACCCAGGTCTTTTGATTACAAGGGCAAAGCTCCCACTCACTCTCCTAAGTCACCATACCAGTAGGAAATGTCTTGACATATTAGGCCTTGGACATTGTGTCTTAGTTTCTTTGGTATAGCAAACAGATCGCTGAACTTGATGTCAGGAAGACCTGAGTTCAAATCCTGATTCAGATACATTGTGAGGATAATAATAGCACCTGCCTCACAGGGTTGTTGTGAAAATCAGATGAGCTACCATGTATAAAAATGCTTTTTAAGCCTTAAAGCTCTATATGATTTGCCTTCTTACTGGATGGAGGAAAAGCAGGAAGAAAATAGAATTTGGAACTCAGCATTTTTAAAAATGGATGTTAAAATTAAAAAAAAATTAAAAATTAAAGTGCTATATAAATGAGAGCTATTATTACATTCCTTTCCTCATCCCTCAAGGGCTTCATTAGACCATAGATTTCCAGTTAGAAGGGAACCTTAGCTGTCATCTGGTCATAAGATCTTAAAGATAAAGAAATCAGGGCCCAGATAGTTTAGCTGACTTTACCCAAGGTCACACAGGTAGTGAGTGGAAGAGGTATATCTTGAACTCAGCTGTTCTGCCTCTGGAGCCAGGACTTTTTTCACTGTAGAGGAGGCTTTGCAAACTTTGAAGCCCTACAGAAATTTCTAAGATTATTATGGTGATTTAGTATTTCCCAGTGGTTTTGAGTAAGATTAGAGTAAGATTGAGTAAGATACCCTCTCCCTTTTGGTACTTTTGGTGTCTTTTTCATGAGGAACAGTTGGGCCAAAGAAATCATTGAAATGTTCATTTTATTATCCACAGAAGCCATTCCCTTGGGCTTCAGTGCTGAGGAGGAAATTGATAGATGGCAATATTTCTAGAGGCAATCGGAGGAGAAATATATGCCCTGCTACACCTCCTTCCAATGACAGGATCACCAGTGAGCCTGGAGGAAAGGTACTTGGCTTCTGATTCAGGGGCTCAAAGCTTGTCTAAACTTGTGCTAGTAAGACCACTTCTCTCTGCTCCAAAGGAAAGGATTGGGATTGTCCTTCTGGCTACTCCATGGAATAAGCCCTAGAAAGAAAGAAAGAAAGAAAGAGAAAAAGACCATCCATGGCAGTAATATGGTGATAAGAAAATGTGAAGGAGATTTAACTCTTTGTGTGCGTTCACTCCTTTTCATGTAGGCTTCAAACTTCACCTCTCATGTTCCATCTCTCATCTCAGTCAGTCAACAAGCATTTTGTAAGGGGTTCCTACAAGCTGGGCACCCTGCGAAGCTCTGGGGATAGAAAGAGGGCAGAAATGAGAATTTAGGAAACTGCAGAGAGGCTGATTTAGGTTCCCCGGAAGGGAAAGCTGAACAATTACCAAAAGCTGCTAGATAATGAGCTCCCCATTGCTGGAAGTCTTCAATAAGTCTTCAATACCCCTTCTTGCTCTAGAGCTAAGATATTATCATTCTTAAAGTCTCTGTAGCTCAGTAGCTACATGGACTGAGACCCTGTCTAAAGTCCAGCCAGGCTTTCTGGAAGCCAGACAGCTGGAGATGGCAAGAAAAAGAAGGAGGGGTCACACCAGGTGTTTTGCAATAAAAGTATTTTTGTGAGTAATCATTAGTCCGATTGTATTTATTTTCATAGCATAGCAAAACTTTTTTATGCTCTGCTAAACTCTTTGATAGCCTCTGGATAGGCCAATCAGGTAGAGACATTAGATATAAAGCCAAGACATGTAAGGCAGAATTCCTGAATTGGAGGTGATTTTGTCCTAACACAACATTCATTCCAAAGCTATGCATCCATCTTTCAAGAAGGTCCATGGTGATTTGACTCAAAAAAATCTAGCAAGGAATCCCCAAGTATCCCAGACCTTCCCAACAGGCTACCTGGGTGTGTGAGAGAAGGTTGACCTGAGGCAAGCATCACAATCATCACCACGGTGTGGCCAGCTAGGATCTCTAGAGGAAGGTAGGTGCTGTAGCTTCCTTACCCAGAAAAGCTAGGCTGGCAATGGGTACTGGTGCAGGGAGCTGAGATTCAATTCCAAATTTCCTCTCAGTGAATGGGATGAGGTGTGACTCCATGGGCTTATGGGTTCTAGAAGCAGAAAGGATTTTAGGGATTAGCTTATCCAATTTCCAACACATCCTATCCCCAACACATACCTATTGGAAAGTAAAGATTAGAGACAGAAGGTACTTTTCAAGGTCATATGACTTGGAAGGAGCAGAGCTGGGATTCAAACTTAGGTTCTTCAATGTCAAATCCAGGTTTCTTTCCACTCAGGCTCTCATGTGGTATAATAGAAAGAGAAAACCTGAGATCTAATCCTGGCTTTCCTACTTATTGTCCACTGGAGTATTGTCATAGGAGTAGAAAGTGCTTCTGCAATTGTGGAGTAATGAACCTCCAGAATGGAGGTTCTCCCCTCTCATTCCATCTTCACTACTCAAAGAAGCCCTGTGAGTAAGAGGAATAAGAATCCATATAGTAAGAATCAGTGGTGGGATCCCTGCTGGCTGGGGTTGAGCAGAACACCAGAATCAAATGACCCCTCCTTCAAGCAGAGTAGGTGAGCCTTGGGAGGGAGGAGGTGTGGAGTAGAAGGAACTAGGGGTTCCCCAGCTCTATTCCAGGGCTTTTTCCCTCCCTGGATACCCTCTCCCTTGATGGTCTCATCTATTTCCATAGCTTGGTTGGTGAGCTCAAATCTCTATCTCCACCCATGACCTCTTCCCCTGAGCTTCAGGACTATAATAGGACATAGGATCATGAGAGCATAGATTTAGAGCCAGAATAAATCGTAGAAACCATTGAGCCCAACTCCATGTTTTCAGAGATAAGGAAACTGAGGCAAAGAAAGGTGAAGTGACTTGTGTGAGGTCACACAGCTGATGTGTCAGAAGCAGGATTCGAACTCGGGTCTTCCTGGTTCCCATTCCATCACTCTATCTACCATAACATGCTGCCTCTCCCTTGGAGATCACACCAATTCCACATGCTCAAAACTGAACTTGTCCTCTTCCTCCTTAAGTATGTCACTCTCACTCCTTCCTTTAAGGGCATTACCATCTGCCCAGGTACCCCAGGTTTGGAATGGGGTTGGGTCAGGGAAGAGTCAGCCTTGCCCATCTTACCTCTGCAGAATCTCTTACAACCCTTCCCTTCTTCCACCCACACTGTTATATGCTACTTTTTTCAGAGAAGAGATGAAAAATATTTTCATCTGTTCCCACCTAGAATTTTCTGATAGTGCACTGGTCTTTCTGACTACTAACCTCTTTTCTACCACTTCTCCCCACTCCAATCTATCACTCATGCCATTTTCTGAGTAATCTTCCTAAGTCACTGCTCTCATCCCATCACTTCTCTACCCAGCAACCTTAAATGGATCTAGAAAAATCACATTTTTATTTTGGCATTCAAGGCCTTCTACAATCCCAACTCCAAACTACCTTTCTAGCCTGATCTCACACTACTTCCTTACAATCAAGCCAAACTACTTTCTGTCTCCTCTTAGCTCCTGTTAACATGTCTTCACTCAGATTATCCCTTACATGTGGAACAAAATTCTTGCCTTCCCTCCTTACCCCAACTCTGAAAAAAATTTTAAAGTAGTGAATTCTGGGGGCAGCTAAATGATGCAGTGGATAGAGCACTGGCCCTGGAGTCAGGAGGATCTGAGTTCAAATCTAGCCTCAAATACTTGATACTTACTAGCTATGTGACCCTGGGCAAGTCACTTAACCCCCCCAATTGCCTCAGCCCCCCCAAAAAGAGTAGTGAGTTCCCCATCACCAGGGGCCTTTGAGCAGGGGCTGGATGACCGTTTATGGGGTATTATGTCATAGTGGAAATTCCTTTTAGTTAATGGTTGGATTTGATGTCTTTAAAGCTTGAAGGAACTTTAGAGATCATTTTATCTAATCCTCACATGTTACAGTTAAAAAATCTGGGGCTCAGAGAGGGAAGGGAGTTGTTCAAAGTCACACATCTTATAAGTATGAGCTCCCAGGGGAAAAAGAATAATAATAATAGTAATAACTAGCATTAGTATAGTGCTTTGTTATTTGCAAAGTACTTCACATATACTGTCTCATTTGCTCCTGACAGCAACTCTAAGGTAGGTATAGCTATTATTACCCCCATTTTACAGATGAGAAAATGGAGGCACAGAAGGTTATGTAATTTGACTAGGGTCACACAGCTAGTTAAGTGTCTAAGGAAGGATTTGAACTCAGGTTTTCTCAACTCTACATCCACCACTTTATACACTAAACCTCCTAAAATCACTGGAGGATATTATCCCCCTTCCCTGTATATTTCAGAAATTGAATTTTGTGGGGCCTGATTTAGCCCCTCAGCATCTGTGGCTCATTGTTGCAACCGGCCCAGGCAGATTCACCTGTGTCATGTGTCCCATGGATCTCTCCCGCCTGATTTCTTCTTTCTCACCTTCTTGGTCCTGGGTCCTTGGTCTCCTGATTTCTATTCTAACCAATATTTCATTCTGAAGGGTTTGAGTTCAATGCAGGATGCATCTAGTATGTGAGGACCACATCATGCAAGCTCTGTACCAATTGCTGGCCCAAAGCATCCCAGAATCCCTGAAGGTGAGGTGGGAGGGGGGTGGCTGGGTCTCTGAGGGAGGATAAAAACTGAATAAGATCTGTGGCCATGCTGTTAGGGAGAGAAAAGTGATGAAATAGAAAGGAACAGTGATGATGGAACTCAACCTTGTATCTATTTCCATCAGAAAAACCAAGTAAAAATTTTCACAATAAATATGTTTTGCATAGTAGTTGGCTATAGCCATGTTTTTGGTATCTACAGCTACCTGGGGCACTGAGAAATTGGGTGACCTTCCCAGGCTCACCCAGCCAGTGTGTGTTAGCCACAGGATGCAAAGCCAGATCTCCCACACTCCCCAAGCTGCTTGGGAGCTACTTCATTTCCCAGCCTTCCACCGCTGGTTGTCATCAGTCTTACCTGCCTCCTTCCATTTCCCCTCCACTCCCAAGGTGTATGGCGCCATTTTCCACATCATTCATGGAAACCCCTTCAACCTGGAAGTGCTAGTGGACTCCTGGCCGGATTATCAGACTGTTGTCACCCGGCCTAAGAAACAGGTAGGTAGAAGAGAAAATAACTGGGAGTAGCAAAACAAGATGAGGGCTCGGGGCCAGCTGACAATGAAGAGTTCTATGGCTGCAGATAGAAAGACAGATGGCCAGCACCAGGGATGGCACTTCTAATTTCTCTGCTGCCATATAGACCCCTAGGGAACTGTTGGAAAAGTGGAAGAATAACATAGGATCACAGAGTTGGAAGGGATAGTAGGAGATAATACTGACAATAATAATAATGACTAAAAATAACTAACCATCATACAGCATTTTAAGATTTGCAAAATGCTACATATGTGTGTGTGTGTGTATACATATATTTGGCAACAACCAATAACTCATTTTCTGTAGGTTTTTAAGGTTACAAAGCACTTTCAGCCCTAAGTTGTAGATCAGGAAGTACTATTATCCCATTTTACAGATGAAGAAACTGAGGCTCAGGGAAATGAAGGGACTTGCTCGATATCCCAACTCTCCACAGTATTTGGAGAGTTCCTTCAACATGGTGATTTATAAGTATATATCCCTTGGTTTTGAATACTGGTTCTTGGATTAAAAAGGTGGAGAAACCCATTTATTTCATCATTCTCAGCACAATCAAAATATCCCCCTTTCCATTCTAAATAGGAAATGGTTGACAAATTGGATCGATACACAAACACTTACTATATCTTCACCAAGGACCTTCAAAAATGCCAGCAGTTTCTAGAATCTACTGAGGTCATCGATTGGAAGCAAGTCATTCAGATTCAAGGTAACTAGTCTTGGGGCTAAGACTATCTTACTTAAAAGACAAACAAAGCTGGCCTGAAGAGGTGTAGACAGAGTTCGGTAAGAATCGGTGATACCTTTCTCCTTCTTTTCCCAGGTTGCCAGGAGAGCTTAGATAAAAGGCTAAGAAAGATTGCAGCTTCCAAGTTCCTTCAGGTGGAACATCTAAGCAATGTTCTCTTTGTAAAAGAAGAAATTCTTCAACTTGGGACAACTGAGGGCAAGTTGGTGACCACAGTGCCAGATACAAAGGTTTTTGAGAGGTAAGAATTAAAGCTTTAAACCTCAAGTATCCACACACACGCACACACACACACACACACACACACACACACACATTTATTTCCTGGGTCCCCAGTGCCTCATTTAGTGGTAAAATAAAGCAAAATTTGGGATTAGCCTGTGTTAGAGGAGGCAGATGATAGTAGTAGCAGCAGCAGCAATAGTAGCAACAACATTCGTATAGTATTTTTAAAAGTTTGCAAGCGCTTTATGTGTTATAATATTGAATACTCACAACAGCCCTGTGAGGTAGGTGCCATTATTATTCATATTTTTCAGTGAAGAAACTTAGGCAAATAGAGGTGAAGTGACTTGCCTAGGGTCAGCTAGTAAGTAAGTATCTGAGGCAGGATTTGCACTCAGGTATCCCCGACTTCAACCTGGCTGGGAAGTAAGAGAAGGGCACCCAATTTTGGTAAAGGTATCGCCATACTGGGCTGGGTCCAAATGAGGGACTGGAAAAGATACCAGACAAAGACTGATTGAAGACCTGGGAATTATTAGTGCGAAGAAGAGAAAAGTCAAAGACAGGAAGGAGAAAGGAACTCTGAGAACCATCTAGTATCTGCAGGCTGCCCTCTGTCAGAGGTCGGAGCTATGGGTAATGAATGAAAGTTATTGAGAAAGAGAATGTGGAAATGTAAACTAAAATGTAACAATGAGTACTATTGGGAAGGAGAGGTAGTTGATTCTTCCTCAGTAGAGGTCTCAGAGTCAAAGCTAGAAGACCCACTAGGAATGGTGCACACGTAATTCTTGTGCAGGTACGTGGGTTGACCTATCGTCAACTCTCTGATTTGGAGAATTAATGACTGAACAGACATTTATCAAGAGCTTACTATGTGTAAAGCCTTGACCAAATGATTTACAAAGGGGACAAGGGAGAGAAATAAGTATTTATTCAGCACCTACTATGTGCTAGGTGCTTTTACCCATATCCTATCATTTGATCCTCATGACATCACTGAGAAGCAGCTGCTCTTATTAATCCAATTTTACAGATGATGAACAGATAGAGATTAAGTGATTTGCCCAAGATTATTCAACTAGCAAGTGTCTGAGGGCGGGTTTGAACTGAGGTCTTCCTGATTCTAGGCTCAGCACTCTACTGACCCACTCTAGAATTCCATCTCTCCCCAGACTCTAAGTTGGATTTGAGGCATCTAGGTGACTCAGGAAGTAGAGTGCTGGCCTTTGAGTCAGAAATCTGCCCTCTGACACTGGTTGTATAGCAAGTCACTTAGTTCCTCAGCTTTCTTGGCTGTGAAATGGGGATAATAATCTCTACTTTACAGGGCTTTCATGAGCATTGAATGAGATAACACGAGCAAAGCATATTGAGAACCTTAAAGCACTGTACAAATGTTAGCTACTCCTATTAAGCAAAAATGCATTTTGGAGAAACTAGCCATCCTTTGTGGAGATTTCAGAAAATTTGAGAACAGAGACATAAATAACTGGGCTTAATTTCTTTACAGTAGAAATCTGGAGTTAACGTTTGCCCGCCTGAATGCATCCCATGCAAAACTCGTAAACGATCATTGGGAGCTGGGGCTCAATGAGAAGAGCCTGAATTATGTCATACGTTGCATCCAGAACTTGCCAACTTTTTGCCTCCTGGACTCGGAGGGGAACCCCATCTCTTGGGTTGTCATGGATCAGACTGGGGAACTGAGGATGGCCTGTACCCTACCCCAATACCGAGCAAAAGGCATAGGGCATTACTTGAAAGTTAACACTTTACAGTATCTTTTTAAAGAAAATATTCCATTTTTCCTACACATAGCAGAAAAGAAGAAATACCTCTTCAGAGGTTTGATACAGTCTGGTTTCCATTCATACCCTCATGGATGGAACCAGTGGACATTAACCCCAAAAATGAAAAGCCAATACTGATCCAAGAGAATATTTGAGCATGGAGCTAATGTGTACATATGCATATGTATATGTAGGCTTCAGTTTCAACCCCGCATGTAGCACAGTACCTGGCACATAGTAGGCACTTAATAAATGTTTGTTGAATAAATGAATGAAAGTTAGCAAATTAATTGAGCCTTGTGACACTGCTTGTCTGCACCCCAATAGGCAAAGAGACTTCTTATCTTCTTTACCCTCTACTTCCTTACAAAGTGGAACTACCCCATCCTTTTTAGAATGGGCTATCTCCTATACAATCATAGTTTTCAGAAGTAGAAGTCTCAGTATCAGTGGACAACTTCTGTTTGCCAAGACAGATATAAAGTCAGTGCCTTCATTTCCTAAAGAATATTTTTTGTTTTTGCTTTTATTTTGGGTAGAAGAATTCTACTTCCCATTTGCTGAAATTGTCACTGTATTATTTTATATAAATTTATTTTGTTCATCCATGTGTGTGACCCCCGATTTGGAAACTCCCTCAACTTTATATCAGCAATTCCCCTGTCACTTCTGTCCTTGGAGGATTGCCAAAGACCATTGTGAATTTAAGTGATTGCTTGAGTAAGTTGGAGATAGATTTTGAACCCAGATCTTCCTGACTGCAAATAGCCCTTAAACCATTATGCCATTCTGTCTTTGCCTTGCATTATAGTAGGGACTTAATAAATTGCTATTCAATTGGATTGAACGTCTCTGGGCCTCAGTTCCACTAGACAGTTCTTTAACATCTCTCAAGTCTAAATCTTTCTGTGTAGACTACCTCAAAGTATTTTACATGTTTGACACTGTCTTCTGGTCATCGGGTGTTATATAGGGCAGGAATCCCAGTTCAAAGGAGAGGCTGCAGATCTGTCTCTCTGAATCAGCAAAATTATCTAGCTGACTGATAGGGGTGTGTGTTGACATCTGAGAGCAATGGTATTGTTCTTTAAAGGGACAGGATACTGTCTCAGTGGTGCCTGTACCCCCAGAGAGGGGTTTTTTGTGGCAGATGGAAAGGAATCTTTCCAGAGCTTTTCTTTAATATCCTCTAAGAGGCTGACAGGAAGATTGGGATAAAGATGGATAAGTGCTGGAAAAGGATTCAAGGCCAAAGAAGGGTTAAGACTCGGAGAGGATAGAAGTTCAGAAACAGGACTAGCAGAGGATTGGCAGGGGTGGGGATCCTGTGGCCTCGAGGCCACATGTGGCCCTCTAGGTCCTCAAGTGCGGTCCTTTGACTGAATTCAAACTTCACAGAACAAATCCTCTTAATAAAAGGATTTGTTCTGTAAATTTTTTGGACTCTGTCAAAAGGCTGCTCCCAAGGACCTAGAAAGCCATATGTGGCCTCGAGGCTACAGGATCCCCACCCTGGTGTAGGAGAAGTAGCAGGAGGTACGTTATAAGGCATAAGAGGAGGGGGAGGTGGCAAAGGGACACATTGCTTATGCTCTGGTAGAGCCTCATATGGAGGTGTTTTTTTTCTTTTCCTCAGCAGAAAGATTCATTAATTTTTCACAATTTGGTTAACAAAATGTGTGCACTTCAAGATCTGTCCAAATGAGCCAATAGCTCATTTGTTTTAGAGAGCGAAACTCTCTATTAACATTTAGAATTTGTAAAACTTCAGGATCCAAGGTACCATATGGTGGCTGGGGCTATTTAGTAGAATAAGTATAAAGTGTATCCATTTAGATTGATAGAGATCAACAAGTACAACCTTCAACCAGCCCTTCCCAGAGATGTTTCCAGTTAGCCAAAGTAGGCTCAAGAGGGCTCTGTTCCAAAACAGACTGAGCAGGAATACTGGATCCCATTAGTGAAGACTGACCACTCAAATAAGCCTTATGTCAGCTCTAGATCATTAGTGATATGGATCCTCTCTGATTACTGAAGACTCGGGTCAGACTTGAGCCCCCCCAACTTGTACACCCCTTTAACCTGGGCCTTATTCTCTAAATTTAATTTGGAATTTAGACAGGAAGGGTAGTGAGGACAATACAATAATCTCAAATGACAGACAGATAAGTATGTAGGAAATGAAACAAAGGGGCACAGGGTATGGAAAAATCTTAATATTCTCCCAGGGGAATCAGGTATTCACCCAGAAATAGAGGAAGTCCTTCCACTGAAACATGAGTTTCCTCAGTCAAGTCATCACATTCAAATTCTGAATTACAGTACCCATGATCATCTGGGCATAAGGGAGGCTGCCTAGGTGATTGCCTTAGTTTATGGGTTTACATCTAACGGATATGGATTATTCAGATGCAAGAGACAGAAAAAACAGACAATACAGAATAAAAATATGCAAAACTAGATCTAACCTGTTTCTGTAGATCTCCCAATTTAAAGCACAAGGTGCTGGATTACATCTTTGTCAACCCTCCAGAAGTCTCCAAATAGATGGTGCGTGCTGGAAAGTTCTCAGAGATGAGGATCTGAGATGGTCTCAGCTAGCAGTCCCTTTATGGTCACCAAAATTGTTGCATGAATCCCTTTTGGGTACTGACTAGCCACTGCAGATAAGCCAACACAGAAGACAGACACAAGGAAAACTGAAGTTAATTTACCCAGTGAGACACTCCACTAGGAGATGATGGACACATATGTCTGCTACAATTCCATAAGTGATATTTATGCCAGTCTATCATTTGCCTCACCACTCTTTAGGTGAAGCCAAGCAATGTGCTAGGTGGTCACATAGGGAAAGAATGTGTATTTGTTATAACAAAAAGATGCTTGTCACTTTTTACGAAAACAGGAATATATCCTTATTAGCATAACTATTTATACCAGATCAAAGTGAGCCACATGTTGTCTGCCAGACAAAGAAAAGGAACAGACTTCCTAAGGTTTTCCAAGTCCTTTGCAAAATAAAACCTCTTATAACAATTAGAGGCTGAAAGGAGACATTCAAGGAAGCCAGCCTATAGTATGTGCTAAGGCAAATACATAGCAAAATGGTAAATATGAAACAAAATAAAGTTAGACACATCAAGTCCCAACAGATCACTCAGCTCCCCAAAATCTACTTTCAATAACAGCAATCAGACTTTGTCCTTAATCAGACCACCCTGGGAACACTAAAAGTTTTCAGGTTCCTAGACTGTCCCTGACATGCTAGAATAACACAACACTTAAATATACCAAGAAAGCAGCAACTTGACTGGACTAGACATGACCACATGAAAGTGTGCAGAACCTAGCCCAAACATCAAGTCTGACGTCAAGAAGTAGACTGGAAGAATGGGCCAAAAAAAAAAAAAAGAACCCTACCATAATGAGTTATTATGGTGGCTGGGATGCTCAAGAAACATGAAGAAGAAGAGAATGATTCTAGAACACCTATAAACAATGCCTCAGAGAAAAATGCAGCTTGAATACAAACTCAGGTAGAATTCCTGGAAGAGATGAAACAAGAATATTTTTTAAGTTTTATTTTTTTAAATAAATGAAATGAGAGTACTTGAGAGTCATGAAAGAAATAATTGGAATGGAAATTAACAGAAGTACAAAACCTTGCTCATGCAATATTCCCTGAAAATTAGAATGAACCAAATAGAAACTGAGTCTGTGAGACAAGAAGAAATATTAAAATAAATTTTAAAAGCTGAAAAAATGGAAGAAAATGTAAAGTAAAAAAAAATGTTATCATAGCAAAAACAACTGACTTAAGAAAAATCAAGGAGAAAAATTAAGAATCATTAGACTATTTGGATGCCATGACCTAAAAAGATACTAGACACCCTATTTTAAGAAACCATAAAAGAAACCTGTCCAGATCTAATAGACCCAGAGACAAAATAGAAATAGAAATAATCCATTGGTCACCTCCTGAAAGAAACCCTAAAATTAAAACCTCCAGAAACATCATAGCCAAAATCCAGCTTGTAGGTTAAAAAAAAATTTAAGCAGCCAGAAAGAAAAAAAAATAGGTACTGTGGAGCCACAGTCAAGGTTACATGTGACTTAGCAGCTACAACCATAAAGAAGCAAAGAACTTGGAATCTGTTATTCCAGAAGGTGAAAGGATTATGACCAAGAATAGTTTACTCAGCAAAACTGAATATAATCCTATAGGAGAAAAATGAATCTTGAATGAAATAGAGAACTTCCAAGCATTACTAATTAAAATGTCAGAGCTGCATAGAAAATCTGAAGTTCAAACACAAGAGTCATGATAAACATGGAAAAGTAAATGTGAATGAACAATAATAATTAGTAATAATAATAATAGTAATAGCTAGCATTCATATAGCACCTACTATTTATATTCCCATAGGGAGATGATACATGTGTCCACTCTAAACCTTATTATCATCAGGGATCATAAAGGGAATCTCATTAGACAGGGTCTGAGAGTGGTTCTGTTATGGCATGATGATCTTAAGAGAACAGAAAGAGAGGAGAAGAGGAATATGCAGGGTGGGGAGGAAGGGAAAGGAAGCATAGGGGAAATTATTTCATATGATTATGGCACAAAAAAATGGGGTTGGGATAAGCAGCTGACACCTCAACTTTACTCTCATCTGAACTGGTTAAAGAAGGAAGAATAGATTGCACACACAGAGCCGGGTACATCAATTTCATTCAACAGGGAAATAGCAGAGAAACGGGAGAAAAGAGAAGGGAAATCCCAAGGGAGGACAGATGAAGGAAGGAGTTAGTCCTAAACAAAATGAACTCTAAGATGTAAAAAAATTTTTATAGTAAAAATAAGAATCTATCTGAGGAGGTGCCTGTAAATGAGGGAATGGATGAACAAGTTATGGTATATAGATATGATGGAATAGTATTGTGATATAAGAAGTGATGAAGGGGATAATTTCAAAGATACCTGAGAAGACATACATGATCCATTGCCTAGTGAAGTAGAAAGAATCAGGAGAACAATTTCTACAGAACAATTTCTATATGAGCAAAGGCAAATAACTTTAAAAGAATTAGGAACTCTTATCAGTGTAATGACCAATCACAATGCCAGAGGATTGATG